CTCCAACCACCGCCCCACGAAACACGTGGATGTGAAATGTAACACTATAGCATCAAAATCATTTTATTACTGCCACCACAGCACTCACTGGCTGCAATAATAAAATCCATTCTTATGTGACTGGACCTGGCTACACAGATACAAAGGTCTTTGTGGTCCAGATTCAGAAACTTATTTAATAAATTTCTGCAATCAAGTGAAATATTGTGACAGGAAAATTAAACACTGATGGGTTAATCAATATGGCAGCAACAGCATATTTATAACTGAGCCACAGAATAGCATTAACAAAGGATATATGAGAGCAGGCAATACCACTGTGCTGATTCAAATTATTGCTCACTGATTATTTTGAGAATGCAATACCCTCTCTTTTGACATGTTGTTCTGCCTTCACTCTCAAATTACTATTATCAAATTCAACTTTGGTGCAACACTAACATCATCTGTCCAGCTCAACAACTGCTCTGAAGCCTGACAATGTGTGGAACATGTTCAGCTGGAACACTGACAGGATAGAGCTGAGACACTGTTTTTTATAAGAGGAGACTCACTGAAGTTGAACTCATGACTGGATTCAGGAAAACCTACACTTTTTTTAAAAACACTTTTTCCTTAATTTGGAGAGACTTACTTTTCATTACACAGCTAATTTCACAGCATACATCTTCAAGTGCAATAAGTTACCTTTTGTAAATGAAAAGGAAATAGTCATAAATCTTCCTTATGCTATAAATATATTTTAGAAGAGCAATGTTAAAATAAACAGGAATGGACACCCCTGTTTTCGTACATGAAAGCAATGGAAGAATGAAAGATCTGGACTACTGATTGTACTGTGTATGAGATCCAGGTATGTGGATGCCAGACTCCTCAAGAATTAGGGTGGCTGAATAACCCGCAAATTCTCGGGTGATTCAGACAGATTAGCATCACTTATTTCAGCCTCAGGAACAAATCAGCAGGAAACTGGGAGAAAGCTGTGAGCCAGGAATTTCTGCAGTATCTGCATTAACTTTTTATAAATTTTGTTTACACATATTTTAACAAGCTATTTGGAGCAGTAAAGGAAATAACTAATGAAGATTTGCAGAAGGATGCAATGGTACTAGATGACTAAACAGTAACAGTGATGAAATTCAGTCTAGAGAGTTTAAAAGTGAGCAGTTTTGTGAGGAAATAACCAACAGTTTCTGTGATTCTATGAAGAATCTTGACTGTATTTATTAGCATGGGGAGTCCTGCCCTCCCACCTCATGGGCTGCAAGGTGCTGGAAAAGGTACAGGGAAGGGAGCAATCAGATCTTTTTGTGGCTTCCAAATAAGGACATTTTTAAAAAAAACAAAAATACCTTGAAAACAATAAAAAACGAAAGAATAAGTGGCATGGAGAAGGAAAATAAGGACTGGTGTTCATTTTCTCTTATACCAGAATTCACAGACAGCAAAAGAAAAGATCATATGTGGGGGTAGTCAGAGTGTGAAACTCTTTAGCACAGGATGCTCCAAATGTCAGAGGTTTACAGTGGTCTCAGACCCACACCTGGAGTGCTTTACAGTCAGAAACAAAGCACAGTGAGAATGCAAATAGGCTTCTTCCTTAGCCTTTGATCCCCTAGACAAAACCTAGGGATTGGCAGTATCTGAGATGGTTTTCACCTCTCAAAGCTTGCAACAGCTCCGCTGTGTTGGGCATGCCCCACCAAGGCTACTTGCAGCTGATAAAAGAAAAAAACACCCTTTTTTAATCTGCTAAACATTGTGTATTTAACAATATGCACCGTCTTGCCTGCACCACTGGCCTGTGCTCTATCATCTGGTGCCCACAAGCCACACAACTCCCTGGATGTCACAACTGCACCTAGATGGTAAAACTGCTTCCAGAGTTGTATTTCAAAAGCCTGATGTCTCATCTCCCTCACCACCAGCTTTCTCTGGTACAGTTACTGTTCTGTGCCTTTTTTTGCAACATTTTTCTTAGTTGTTCAAGTTTAAAATGTTTTAATTACACCTCCTGTCTCTTAGTATTCCATAGCCAGGTACATGCCACTCATGATCTGGCATTTCAAGACTTAAATTTATTTTCAGTAGCAGAGATGAAGCTCATTTCTGCAATAGCATACAACTGGCTTTTGGAGTTGTATTCTAGAACATCCAAGTTGTAAGGGAATTTGTTTCCTTGGCTCTGGCAGCAGTGCAGGAAATAAACAACCAAGGAAAGAATGTGAGGCCTCCCCTGCAAACATGCAGATCATACCTCTCATTTAAGAACCCCTTAATAAAATACAATAACGCTTGGAAACTTCCTCCTAAGTTATAGTAATTTTACACTGGATTGGATCTTGAATTCACCTGTCATCCAACCCCAAATTTCACAGAATGCAGACAACACCATGCTATGGAACTTCCCTGGCTAAAGGCTGGGCATCTGTCCCAAAGGGGACAAGTGATGTTTAGACATTAGAATCTTCACCAAGAAACATGATTTCTGTTTTATATAAAGGGATAATAGAAATAACAAGGATCCAAACACAACTCATCTCCTTTTGATCTGTCCTGCCTTTCTGGCAGAATCAGGCTCCCTGCTTTGGGTAGCACTTTTAGCTAGACCTGACTTCTACAGCACATGCATTATCCATGGCCCATGTTCAGCTGGAAACCAAGCTCCAAGCATCTTGGCCATGCCTCAGCTCTGAAGTATGTGTATGTTTAGGTATATATGCTTCTGAAAACCACAACTACTCAGATCCAAGCCTATCTATACTATCTTCCTTGAGAAAGCAAGAGTGCAGTGCTCCACTATATCAATTTAAAAATACATATATTCTCATCTTAACATGGTTTAGGCCACTGTAGTGGCCACTAAAACCCAAATATGCTTCCAGTTGGAACTGCTATAGTAACTGCTCTAAAGTATTTAAAATTGATTGCATTTAGATAAATTTAATTGGTGTTACACATTCCCCAAAAGAGCTGCCATATTTCTCTCACTTCCATGATGCTGTCGGAAATGTCTGAATTTTTCTTAAAAATTAGATAAATCTGTTTATCTCCACAAAGACCTTTTGTGGCCACTTGCTTAGTTGATGTGGTTTTTTTTCATTTTTTTTTCTGTTTTACCTCTGATAGGGTCACAGCTGATGGATGCACTACAACTACCACCTAATTATTTGCTGGAGAGTTTAGCAATTGATAAATATAGTTTATCAAAAAGCCATCAATCAAGCTCTTGCTTAGATATTCTGGTAACAGCATTAAACCAATGTAAGCAACTTCTAAGTAAGATACTTACTTCTACTAGATATCCAGAAGGCAACATAAAGTAAAATTGAAGTTAATTTGAATAGCAGCCCACAATATAATCCCCAGTAAAGTGACATTTGGAACAACTAATTCAACAATAGGAGACTGTGTACAGTCTCTCTTTAGAAGTAAGTTTTCTTCAATGTAGGCAGCACATTGAGTCACAGCATAAATATAAATATGTACACACACACTGTATATTCACACATGCAGCAAGATCAGGCTGTGGATTATTCCAGGCAGTGAATCTGTGCAGCAATCAGTCTCTCTAATCACACACCCACACTCATGGCCAGCTAGTTCTTGCATTTGGGGCACAAATTCAAACCCATGAAAGAAAACTAATTCTGTATTTTAGGCTTATGCGATCTAAAATGAATAATGATTTGGGTATTTCAGCTGGACTCAGAAATTCAGTCAAGTTATTTTGTCTTCAGTGATCACCTGTTCTTTCTAAAAATGAAGTCACTACAGGATGGCTTAGCTTCAGTATTAAAAATTGGAAAACCTTGTAACTTTGAGTTTGTGTTTCAGCTGTCATTTGATTTTGCAGCACGATCAAAATCAGATATTCTTGTAAATCAAAGAATAAAAACTTTTCTTATTCTGTAATCCCATGACCATGAAGAGAAACAAAAATGCAATACCCTCTTTTTATTTTAGCTCTTTACCCATTTTTCTTTCATTATCTCTAGGTCACTCAAGATTAATTATTAATTCTGAGCCAAATAGTTTTCTTAAGTAAATTTTCAGCTGCAGAGTGAATTCATTGATTTTTTCCCATTTTTGCATTACTGCACACAAAAGCACCAAAAGCTAAAAAACCCCACAAAAATTACTAAAGCGTTCCTTCCAGGCACTTGAGTTGATAGTGCTGTGAATTTTTGACTTTAGTATTCCAGCAGTGCTCCAAGCTCCAGTTCAAATGAGTTTAGGTCAGTGGATATTCAGTCACATTTGCAGGACTGACTGCCCAACAAGCGAAAATCTCCCCACAGTTGTATCTGCAAGTCTCTTAGTGCTGAAGAAGTATCATTTATAAGCAATAAGGAAGTACATCCTTTAGAAGTGAATCCTGAGTCTCCAGTGTATGAGGGGATTCATGTACCACACAGGCAAGAGCTGGGCTTGGCGATTGCTGCGGGTCCTTTTCTACCCGAAATCTTCAGTGATTCTGCCAGCAAGCTCCTGGCTCTAGGCTGGGTCAGACCCCACTGCCCCTTCAGCAGATCACTGCACAGGTCACACACTTTGCAAGGGAGAAAGCTGGCAAACAACTGGCACTAACATGGTGCCTCCTGTACTTTTTCATTTTTGTTCTGTTTTACCTCTGATAGGCTCACAGCTGATGGATGCAGCAGGATCCTGAGCACCCGAGCTAATACTCCCAGAAACACACATTTAATCAAGTTCCCACTGAACACCTTGGTGGAAAGGCTTACACTGATTTCTCAAATTACAGTTCCACACCATCGAATTTCTATGCAATGAAATGCTATACAAGGACAAAGCCCTCTGTCTTACTACATACCATTACAAGAAAATGGAGTACATTTACTGTTACCCAAGGCCACTTATTTATTCTTTTCCTGAAATGCCAGCTTTAAACATTTTTGATATCTGCCAGCAAAGGGAGTGTTCAGTGGCAAGTCACTTACACCATATATTCCAAACAAATGCAATTCCATCAAACATACCTCCACAAGCCTGCTAGTATGTTCTCGAAATATAGCAGCATATTCCTTTATTTCTTTCTCTCTTCCATTTTTAGCAGCTTCAATGAGAACTAGCAGTGGCACAGTGGTGTCTAAGAAGGAGTCTGAGATGTGATCTATAATGGCTTTCCGGAGCTGCAAAAGAAAGCAATACATCAGTACCTGCTAACTGGAGTCTTCATTGAAGCCTGCAGGAATTATTGTCCATTCCTATTTATAACATAAACACATCCACACTGTATTCATGCATTATTTGCACCCTAGGTCTGAAACCTATGGCAGCTACAATTTATGTATTACACAAAAAACTGTATTTAATTTTAAGGAAAACTTTAATATGTCACTAGGTAAATATGCCTGTTTGTACAGATACACAAAACACTACATCATATTCTGGTTCTCTTGAAATCAAGGGAGCCAAACAAATATTACCCTTCCTTGATGAATAGGCTACTTAACTCATTGCACATGTGCAAAATTAGTTAGCCTAGACCTCATATCTCCTGGGTATTCTCCCTTGTAATTCAGATGCCAAGGGAGAAGGCTATTTCATTTTACAAAGAAAATATTAATTTAATCATGTTTGTACTCGAGAAATAGCTACATCCCATGATTTAATAATTGCAAAATTACAGCAGTATTTTCTTTTTGGGAAACAAGGTCTGTTTTGCAGAATGGCAGCCTTCATGGTAATTATGTGAATGAGATTACTGATTGTGCCACCTGATAATGTATTAATAGAGCAAGAAGATCTATAAATGAGGCTGGAGTTCAATTTTCTCTGCTTAAGTCAATTGTTCTTGAACTTTTAACTTAAATTAGTAAAGAAGAATAACATTCTGCTATAAATTACCTGTCTTAAATTAGGCTTCACAGAAGCTTGTATCACTGCTACATCACTTAAGAGGTTATTTTGCATGTTACCTACACGTGAACGCTGTTCATTTAGATCATGCAGCACTACAACAAACTTACCAACTGAAACAATACATGAAATGTAAAAATAATTATCAAATGCACTGAATTTCCTACTCAAAATCCAGTATTTTTACAATCTATAGAAAAGATTTTGACTGGAACAGAAAAGGACACTAAATGTTTTTAAGCTCATAACACTGCTGCCAAAGTACTGTTTTCACTTGGTGTTTTGCTCCAATGTATCTGTGTGAATACTCAGTAAAAGTAAAAACTCCTTCCACGAGAAAAATGGAAAAAAGCACAGTCTTTCTGATGCTGCTGCTTGTAGGTTTGTAGGTAGGGCAGTGACCATGCACAGCAGAAAGAACAGTGGAGAAAAATCTGCTGATTATCAGACAAGATCTGAATATGAATTCCACCACTAGCTTTTGGATAGCCTCACCACCTAAAACCAGCTCACCCTGACTCACCAGAGGGACAGACAAACATTCCAAACAAGCACAGCAATTCATGTTTGGAATGGTTTCTTTGTCTCCTAACCTAGTGTAGCCCATCACATTAGGATATACTGTCTGGATACACTGTATGTTCTGCAAAGTCATTTACAAAGACAGAGGCTGTGGGATTCCAATGCAGAATAGGATTTCATGCATTCTCAGCTTTATTCAAGCTGAAATTAAAATACAAAAAACTATTAGAAAGTTTCACTACCAGAAATAAAATACATCGAACCTCCAGTCCTGCCAAGTTACCTGCTAAGACTTCTCTGTTGTAAAGGCTCCACTAAAGAAAACAGATATTCTTGCCTGTTTAAAATTAGGTACATGAATGTGACCTTGAAGAGTCAGAATTTTAAAATAAATATTTCGATTTACAAAAAACAGCAACAAAAAGTTGTGGAACCATCGCATCCATGGCCAATGATTGATTATCTCCAGCAGAAATATTCTGGAGTTCTGTGCAGTCCAGACTGCAGGGCTTTCACAGCCTTAACGCAGTGTCACTACAATAACCTCAGGCACATTTGTGGAGAAGCTTGAGATACCCAATTTCAAACCAACAGCCTAATTTTATCTCTCATAACATAATTCTTTGCTATAGCTTTTCACTGGTTTTCTTGGCTTAATTAACCTTTCACACAGAAATTATCATTACTATTTCGTTCATAAGAAATGCTCTATCCTGCAATTATGTAGCAAATTACAGTTTCTTTAAAAAAACAAAGATAATGCTGTGTCTTTGCTGAACACAAACAAGTTTGAAATTATGTTCCTGTTGCAACTCTGCAAAGGAATATACAAAGCTGAGAATTGCAAAGGATGGCTTGTGTAGCATTAAAGAAGTACAACATAGAAAAAAAAAAAGGAAAAGACAAAAGAAAAAAGGAATATCTGAGGCAATATCTATTTCTTTTCATACTAATCCTAACAAGCATTTCTTCCATGACTCAGTAAGTCTGTTTCTGACCCTGGCCACCTGTAGGGCAAAATGCTAAAAGCTAACTAGGCAGAAGGGAGGCACATGAAAAAAGGACAGCATCAGTAGTGCCAGCACACAATGCTAGGGAAGTTATTGTGCTATAATTAAATTTCTTCTCGTATTTTTAAGCAAAAGAGACACCAGTAGAAGAGGGAAAGGAGGGGAAGGATGATGTCTGACAAATTGTTTTCTTCTTAAGATGCAAGGTCTTACCCTTTGAGCAGACTGGTACAGAAGCATGGAGAATTTTTAGTTTTGGTATCAAAATGCATTAAAAAATAACACAGGAACATGTCATTTATAAAACATGGGGCATAAGGTTGTCAAAAACAGTGGAGGGTAGAGAAAAAAAATGCCAGCAGCTGTTTGCAACACTATTCAGCATCAGTACTGATAAGCACAGAAAACTCTGTTGGCCTCTACTCACCTCTTGCCTTACCAGACTACCCTGGCAAAAGTCCTGGGCAAAGCTCAGAGCAGTTATTACTGAGGGATCTCCCCTTTCCCCTTTTGAAGGGGAGCCAGGAAGGCCATCTCTTTTGTGTCCAGAAACAGCTACTCATGATGAAGAAATTACATAAAAATATAAGAATATCACCAGGAATAACATTTATTAAAGTAACCAACCAGCCAGAACTGCAGAACAGCCACAGGAGAAACATCTTTGCAGTCCATTCATGCTGCACTGGGAAAGAACTGAGAGGCAAGACCTGAGTATGGTAATTTCATGTAATTATAAATTGGAATGAATGGGCAATTCCTTCCTAAATATTTGTACAGCTCTCCTCAGCAGTGAAGCAGTGATCCAGGTAAAACTGCACCCACAGAAATGACAAGCACACCTCCAGCACAATACAAGTACAAATCAAAACAAAGCTGAACAGCTTAAAATCCTCATAAGTACTGGCCAAGCTCCTGAAATGAATGTAAGTAAGTTCCCTTGAAAAGCCAGATAGTTTCTACAGCTCCCAGAATGTCCTGTTCTGGGGACAGCTACTTTTGCCCCCACTCTTGCCAGACACAAATGCACTCCTTCACTCTCCTTGCTGTGATGTGCAAAGGTGTTCCAAAGGGGCCCACGGTATAACCCACAGCCAGGCTGCTAGCTGGGACAGCCCCTCTCTGATGGTTTATTGGGCATCACTGAAGAGATTTTAAAAATACATCTTGATAAGGTTTCATATTTAACCCAAATTTTGCAGAGGCAGTCCCAGTCATGACTGAAAGCAGAGTACACTTCACAGCACAGCCCAGAATCAGCTGAGAGCACTGATGCAATACCAGCAAAGGTGTACATTGTCATTGAAAAATACAGTATTACAAAAGCTGTAAGAGTAGAGCAAACAACAATTTTCATGTTTCTTGTAAAATTGCTGGGAGACGGAGTAACAAATGTTTGTAAGTGAAAGCAAATAAGACTCTACGGCAATATCTGCAGGCACAAAATTCACAATTTCATGTCTCCCAGAACAGGAATTAGGCATGCAGTAAGCATTCTTCCTAAAACAATTCTCATAAATACATATGTATGAATATAGAATTGAAGGAAATATATAAAATATTTCTCATAAATCCTTTCCAGTGGAAAAAATGTCAAGAAGCACAGAGCTGTTCTGGTAAGAGGAAATTACTGGTTCTAGATTGACTATAAATTGGGCATGATTACATTCAGCCTGAACATTTTCCAAAGGTTTACACAAAGACATAAATTGAATCAGTTAACAGCTTTTAACCACTGTAACAGAGTCAATAAAGTGTTTTAAGCTGGAGTTTAATTAACCCATGGACGAAAATGAATTGAAGGGTTCCTAGATACACTGAGCTGGTGATGCAGGCCTCTGCACTGAACACATTTTGGACAGAATGTAAGCAGAAACTGGGTAGCTACTTATCTGTAAACACTGTATTTCTATTATATTATTCTCATTTTTCAAGGCTTCCCCTGGCTGATTATGGCAGCAGGAAGGAATTTATTCCTCAACTTGAAGCACAGGCTGGCTTGTGAGACTGAATACAAAGTTGGGAGGGGTCATCTTCCACCAGGGAGCTGATCAAAAGCCCAAGCTGGAGACAGGATGAAAGACTGTGTTCAAGTTCTTTGTAGCTGTAAATTTTCATGTACTTGGTTGGGGCAGCTTGGCTGAAAGAACTACTGACTTTCTAGGGGTTTTCTTTCTGAAAGGGAACATTATACACATCCAGCATAATCTGCAGTTTTTCTCAAAGGTATTTATTACAGAGAAAGGGTATAAATACAGCTGATGTCTACTGCTAACCTTCTGCCCTTCACTGAACTTGTGGATTCTGGTCCACGTCTCACATTAGTTTTAGGACACTGGGATGTAAAATGTAGGGTAGACTGTGGACTGGGCATTCCAAAAACCCTCCTGTGTGGTATGAGTTCCCACAGCTGTAAAGACCCACACACAGTGACTCAATAGTTCCTTCAAGGTCTCTGCTCCAACCAGTAATAATTCAAGCTTAGTGAAAATTAAACAAATCATGATGACTAGAGTACATTACTGATATTTATCTACAGCAAATATATTCAGACATGCATACATACAGATATATATTCAGACAGTATCATTTAGCAGGGTTTCCTCCCAGAGTTTTGAAAACTGGTATGTAAATATTCAGTGGAATGGTGCAATTGTCTTCAATATAAAATGGAAAAGAAAATAGTATTTTCAAAATGCATAAACTGAAAATAGCAAATTGGAAAAGAATCCCTCAAGACATTTTTCTACCTTTCATTTGGCCAGGCCTCACCTGTCTGCGAAGGTCTCTGGTCTTCTTGCACATACCATCTATGGCGACATTCAGGGCATTGCTTCTCTCTGCCTTGTCAGTCTGCAATCAATGGGACAGAAAACAATCAGTGGCTGTCTGGAATCCCTCAGCAAGCACATCCTTTGTGTCCCCAGTGCATTTGGTAAATCATACATGCTGAAGAAGTTTTCAAATTTTTCGTACGTTTCAAGAGCCAGTACCACAATGTTCACAGAATGCCAATTTGTCATGTTAAGCATTATTTGCTGAGTCAAAATATATGCTTTAGAAGCACTGCACAGGAACAAAATAAACACTTCCTAACTTCTGAATTGCTGTAATACTACCAGTGTAATAAACAGCATGAACAGAATTCTGATTATAGTGACAATGATGATGGTGGTGATGATGATGATGATTAGTAATAATAATAGTAACAGCAACAGTAATATGGCAATCCATTATACCCTATTCATGTGAAAAATAATGTTCTCTCTCTAAAAAACAATGTATAAATTCAGGTGCCCACAATGCAGTGCAGTTATGCTTTTGTTTGTCGTGTTCATTTTCCTTCTGTAAAACAGAATGGGTGAGTTTCAAAACGTCCAAGATGTTTCACTGTCCATGAAATGACAATCTCTCCATTCCACACAGCACATTCATTCTCAGCATCTAGAAGACTGAGATATCTGAGAGGTCTGAAGAGAATTGGTTTTACTTTCTAAACAATTTTAATTTTTTTATTTCCACCTATAAGCAAAGTGCTTCTATCACGGTTACCTATTTGAAAAGAGTACTTCACACTTCACTGGATCACTCAGCCTTTTCTCCCTACAATACCGTAATACTTCTGTGCCTCCTAGCTGGTTAGGATTTTTTTTTTCCTGTTAGTACAGAAACTACATGAAAATACAAAATGCCTGATGAAGTTTGTTTGCCTAAAGCAAGCAATCATTGTCGACTACCTTGGACTGCCCTGGTCTAAAGGAAAGAACCACAAATAGTGGTGCTTTACACAAAGTCAGCACACATGATATTTACTGCACAATGAACCGGTCTGTCATAAATGCTAAGCAAGACCTATGTACAATGACCACACCATTTACCAAGCACCAGAAATCTCTATTATAAACATGACTGTGTCATTTTATAAATAACATTAAAATTAATATGGAAATAGTAATATTGTGGTAGGCACCCAAGAGTTATATAAGCTTATTATCTATGTATCATACTTCAATCAGAGTTATTTCCTTACTAAAGAAACCTGTGAACAGGACAATATGCTTAATATTAAAACTAAGACTAGAGGGTGCAAGAAAATAACTCTTACATTAAAACTGAATGTGCAGCGTCATAAATGAAATTATTAGCACATTCTGTATCAGCTGAAAGGAAAAACTACTTTAAAAACTGAACTAGTACTTTCAGGTTTATTTAGAAAATCTCCTGTGACCTTCTGTCTCTGAAACTGGCTATAGGCTTTGCAGGGAACAGATGATCAAAACCAGATCTTGGAGAAAGGTCTGAACTTCACCTTAAAACCTTCAGGGAATCCCTGGGGGTGGATACTCACTTTTGTTCCACAGCAATGCTATCACTTCTTGTACCAAGGCTTGCACAGGAACCAAAGTAAATTATCACTCCTCTATTATGCTTTGCAACCTCTTGTCAGCCTTGACAACAAAATGATTCCATCTGAACTGCCAGGTAAAACGGGCCAGGAAAAACTTGATGGATACAACTCAGCTTATGCCTATGCATTTTCAGACTACAAAAATGCACTGGCATATCCTTTGGAAGTTTTATATTTAGAGCCTATTTTTCTACAAAGACAAAATCATTGTAAAATATTGGGATATTTTTCAAATTGCCTGATAATCTGTAACTTCAAAGGTGGCTACTAATGATACAACTGGCTTTCAGCTAACCTAAATCTTTGAAGCAGCTATTCTGAAATAACCTCAGGCATCAAGTGGCATAAAATATTGAACAGTGAACAAGTTAAAAATACTTTACTTTCAAATTCTTAACATAATAGTCAATGTTGAGAAAGCAAATCCAACTATAAATGAAGTTATTCTTCACCTCATGTTTCCCCTAAGAAATAAAACACACTATAAATGCACTGTAAATGCAGCTTCAGGCTGTAGAATATAGACAAGTCCAGACTGCAAGTAACCTCATAACTGCAGACTCTCATTCTTTCCTAAAGAAACTTAAACATCAAAACCCCCACACTACTGTTTGGATAAATCCTACTTACAAAGACTTCTAAGCCATGTGCAGTCTTCTCCAGTCAGGGGAAGAGCTGTCTACAAAGTCTCCTGTGGGAACACTCTCAAACAGCAGTGGCCTCAAGCTGCCTTCTCCTGCCTCTGTCCCACTGTTGGGACCTGCAGTCCTGCTGTGGCTGCACGCTCCCCTGCAGACTCAGACTCCACCTGGACCTGGCACCAACAGTCCAAGAGCTGCACGAGATGCTCACATTGTTGAATAAGCAAAGAAGAGCAGATGTCATGTCTGACAAGTGTCCGCTGCAATGCTGGCACAGTGAGCCAAAGGTGACCTGAGCACCTCGGCACCCAGCAGAGTGCAGCTCCCCAGCCATGGAGCCACTCATCTGCCTCTGCTTGGCAGTGAAATCCTCCTGGTGACTGCTGTCCTTCAGAACAAGCACACCTATCCTCAAATAGTTCCTTCTTGTACAGGGGGACTGGATTAGGAAAGGGCTAGGAAAATTATGCACACTATTCTGGGTCTGGATTTTAAAAATCAGGCAGCTGAGCCTTTCAGTTATCCTGTACTCACCTACTGTTTTTTCCTGTAAAATACAAGTAATAACACCTATATGGCTCCCTTGTGAAAATCCTCAAAGCAATATCCAGTTCCTATTTCAATGCATTTTTTAACATTTGAAACATTTTACAAGCACTAAGTCACAGTGTTATTAATATTCCACTGAGTGAAAAGAAGTATTTTTAATTAACACTGGATAGCTTGAAGATAAATGCTGGGTACTGGAAATAATACAGGCCCATCTATTTCACACACTGGCAAACAACATTAGTTGAATGTCTCAAAAACCCACATTTGCAGAAAATCTTTTCTGCTGGATTTCCATTTAAACCAGGACACACATACAGGGAGATTCTCAGTTGAAACACATGGCCATATCACCTCTAGTTTTGATGGAGTTCATTTACAGCAGCAGGGAACTGTGACCTTCCCAGGCACTCCAGACCCTTCTGCACCCCAAGGTCCTCAGGTGCAAACCACGACATCTGCACAGCCTTGCAGGACTCAGGAACCAGTCTCCAGCCAAGCCTCTGTAGGTACGTGCCAACAGCTGCCAGCAGCAACAAAGACTGCAGGAATTCCATAAGCTCCAGACTTTGTCAAGTTGACCCTAAAGGACTATACAGATACTCTGAGAAGGGTTTTATTTTCACTTTGTTGATACTTCTGAAGGCCCACAAATGTTTACCTGATAGGTGCACTGATCAGTAGAGTATAAGGAAGATATGGGCAGAACTACTTAAGTGATCATCTAAATCTCTTCTAGTACTTAGGCCAATATCCCATATTTAAAGGTCTGTGGCCAGAAGTTAAGAATATGTTTTGTTTCATGGGATGTGTCTGTTCCCAAATAGTCATTGAACAATCTTGGGAGGAATAAAGAAAAAATTAAAAATCCAATCTACTAGCATGGTTTTCTTTGCCTACTCCACAATGACGGAATGGTTTGGGTTGGAGGGGATTTTAAAGCCCATCTCATTCCGAGCCCCTGGGCAGAGACACCTGGGCAGGGACACTTCCCACTATCCCAGGTTGCTCCAAGCCCCATCCAGCCTGGCCTTGGGCACTTCCAGGGATCCTGGGGCAGCCACAGCTTCTCTGGGCACCCTGTGCCAGGGCCTCATCTCCCTCACATGGAAGAATTTCTTCCCTATGTCTTTTCTAAACCTGCCCTCTGTCAATTGCCTGCAGCAGCTGTACCATGACTCTGTGATAAACAGCTTTTGATATAGTTCTATGTATCCAAAACCAGTTTTAGTTAAAAAAAGAATAGCACATTTATCAAAATCAATTTCTCTATAGAAATTCTCTTCTTAAAAAAGAAGCCAAGCTGTAAAGTAAACACCAATCAATACTACAATAACTTAGTAAATGTCAGAGCTCTAATTAAATGACTGACTTTTTCAGCCTCTGTGTTGACTGCAAATAATCCTATGCTCAGCAATTAGAGGGTCCTGTATATTGCACCTTAATTAAAAAAAAAAAAAGAAAAAAAAAAACCAAAAAACAAACTCTCACACAACTTAGGTAGGACATTAAAGCAAAGACACAGCCTCTATAGAGACACCAAGCATTTTATATCTGTTGTTACAATTTAGCATGTAACATACTTTATTTTTTTTTTTGCATATGGAATTTATAAATGGTTCTTCTTTTCATTTATAAAGTCACTGTGAATTCTAATGAAAACCATAAGTTTAGAAGAAAATTGTATAAAAAGCAATTTTACAATTTATTTTGCATGATGAAACAATTTTGTCATTACTTGGGACATTTCCAGACCTCAATTTTTTGTGCAACAACAGGATTTTTTTTTTTCACATACAGCTTACAGAACCCCTGATCTGTCAAATCCTGTTGTGAAACTCAACTAAGTAAAGACATCTACAAGCATCTGTCTCAAAAAAGCCCCAAAGAAGCCCATAAGCTTTTATAAGGGAAGATCTAGTTCAATCCTGTGGCAGTCTTTGATTTATCCCAGCTGGTTTCATGGCTGCCAGAATTAGTTAACATTGTGCTTCAGCTATCAGTAACTAAATGAAACTAATACCACTTCCTACATTCTTTGCTAGGAGGGGATGAAGGATTTGTTACCTTGAAGGTCACACAGAGAGGAAAATATCCAAATGACAGTTTGGCTATGTGAGAAACACCAAGTGTGGGGCAGAACCCCCTTGCATTCCTTTGTACCCATCTGGATACCACTAGGCCCTGAGATTTGCCCCTTAAAGGCAGAATTCATTTAAATATTATTTTACCCTTCCAATTTTCAGCTTGTTCCT